GGGAAGAAAAGCAAAACTTTACTGTAAAGTTCTGCTGGCTTATTGGCAGTCCACAACACACAGGGCGGCAGGAAGAACTCTTCTGAGACAGGAAATATATGACAGCCCTCTTGGGAAGCAAAGAAATGCTTCTCTTCCAAGTGCCATGATTTCAAAGAAATGAAACACTAAAGTAACAGAATCTATAATGTTCCCACCTCGTGCTATCCATGAATAACATGAAGCAGAAAAAACAACAAAACATACATTAACAGCTAAAATTCACAGATCAATTAAATTAGCTTCAAATGTTATCAATCTCAACAGGTTTACAATATTAATTTTAGCATACTACTCCTGTCTTCCAACACCTTTCCCTGAGGTACTGGAATACAAAAACCACTGGATCGCATTCTTCTTACCTTTTCAATAAAAACAGTAAGTACTCCAACGTTCTCTTTGCTTGTTTAAAATTTTTAGTTTTTTCTTTTTTTTCCATCATCATGAGAATAGAAGACAGAAGCAAGAGCACTCTAGCAGTTACATAAGAAGGTTCTGACAGTGAATCAGTGCTTAATGAATATAATTTCCTTTACACATTAGCAGAAGGAACCGAATACATTATCTTAAATAGCAAGAAAACGTACTCTGCCAACAGCCTATGTGCAAGGGCTGCTAATTTTGGCAGGAGGCGTTCCTGCGTCTGCATTGTTTGAGCTAAAGAGTTGTAAATGCTTTTCCAGATTTGCAGCAACTAATATGGACAGGAGCTCTTTCCCTAGGCAGAAGTTTGCCTGTAGTCTGCAACAAAAACGAGTTTCAAGAGGTGGTGAGTTACTATACCATCTCTTGGTAGCACAGCAGTTCAACTGTCCATCCAAAAAGCATTTTTCAAAATAGCAAAAAATAGCATTGTATTGCATCTTTTAAAATAGGCATAAAAATATTCGGTCCTCACAAATGACTCTGAGGGTGACTTGAAAATGTCAGCGTTACTCCAATAAAACCAACATCTCAAAGCACTGAGACCCCAGTCTGTTTCAAAAGAGAACTTACGGTTTAGCTACAGTTATACCTGTTCAGAAAGACACTAAAGGATAAGATGACAGCAGGGCGGCCTTTCTTTATTTTTGCAGGTGGTTAGTCGGTAGTGTAACATGAAATAAGCATGCTTGTCCTCCCTGTTTTGGTTCTGGCAACAGTGAAATCAGCAGCATTAGTTAACATGCACAACCTGGGAAGCTGCTCAAAATACTTTCTTCAAAGCCTTTTGTGCAGCAGCCAGCACATAACAGAGGAGCAACAACTCTGGTATCACAGCTCCATCACCTCAGTAAGTTCCATTTACAAAAATGGATGTCGCACTGGGAAAACATGTATCTTTAGGTAATTAACATTGTTGCCTTAACTCTAAAATAATGAGGCAAGCTCCCAGAGGCAATGTGAATGGAGCACAGATTTAGCAATAAGAATCTCCCAAATTATAACGCTGACGTGCCCTGACATGTCATCATACCTACCTTCGTCTCATTTCACATCTATGAAATGGAGACAATACATCAGCTAACATCAGGAAGGTGCTTTGAGAAATGTCATGCACTAAATGCCAGGAGTAAATATTTTGTTGTTGTTGTTGTTAATGAGAAGAAAATTAATTTAGTCCACAAGGTGACCTGATTCTGAATCCCTCATGCATGACTTCAACAGGATTTTTACAACAGGAGATTCCCAGGATCTGGAGCTGGATAAGATATATAAAAAGCTGGAGGGCTGAGCCAGAATGGCAGTCAAAATGCTATCTTAATTGGTGACCTCCTGTCAGCCTGTGTCTCCTTCCTGAACTTCGTCTCATTCTGCAGCTTTTGAAAGCGCAACAATTAAAATAGCAGAGCCACAGTCTTGCCAAACGCTTTTTTTTTTCCTCCTAATTAAACAACATTTTCTGAAGCAAACCAAACATGCATGCAAAGTGATAGGCATGAGGGGCACAAGATCATGTCGTCAGATGAAAAGGAACTTGTAGAGCTTCAGCCTCCACTGGACTCCAGGACAGAAGCAAGTCTGCCAAGAAGGCACCTGAACATATGAAAGGAGCCCACATTTCCTCTAAGGCTCAAGATCTCCACTGGTATACACGTTGGACTGAGAGACTGTAAAACCTGCTTAACAAATATCTACTTATAAAGACCATAAAAAGGGATCAATCGTGTGTATTACTTTTTGGTTTCTTTAAATAACAGAAACAGATTTGATACAAAGGTAGGAATCTCTGACTATTCGGTTACTATCACGTCCTGATTCAGGGAGGCAGTCCTCAGTACTCAGAGAGCTGTTTGTAACAAAATCTCAAATTTGAAGACTAAAAAACAATTTTTGCTTGCCTTGCTACCTCCACTATGTTAGTGCAGACAGAATACACTATTCTTTTGTGTATAAAGCACCCACTGGGGCAATAAGTCTCGAACAAGAGAACGGGCACCAGCTTTTGTTGAATACGCAAGCAAAACAAAGTTGAGAAACAACTGGGATGGAGGAGAGCAGGAATGCAACCATCAAGTGTTTTGGAGTGGCAGAGTCTAGAAGCTACCACATGACAGTGGCAGAGTCCTTTTATGTTCCTCAAGCAACTGCCTGAAGTGAACTGCTGTAATTTCAGCAGAAAAAACCCTATACGATCTTTTCCCAATGGACACAGTGCTGATGGTCAATAAATGTACTTTTAGCCTTCACTCCTTGTTTAATTTTTTTGGCTGTAGTTCAGTCTCAGTAAATTACAGTAAGTCCAGTCTTACTGCCTGTCATACCCATTCACTTCCCAAACTCCTAAGAGCCAGACACATTAGTTTTTAATGGTTACGCATCTCAGCATATCAGTAGTACAATTATTTTGGGTAAGCATCCCCATAATAATTATTAGGCATGCTTTCAGCCATGTCCTTCAGTTTACAATTATATATAATTATCCTACATAAAATCAGCTCTACTGCTAAGGATCTTTGAACCAAAAGAAACAGATGCAAACAAAGTACATGAACTCAGCTACTCTGGTAAAATAAACCAACAAATTATGAAAATTCTACTGTTTCTCCAACAAGGAATTAAGATGGCTGAAAGAAGGATGCAGTACAGACCAACTCTGCAGTTAAGCCATTTTTAAGAAGGTTTCAAGAATGATTCTTGAGGACCTCACACTTCACGATTGATTCAAAGCCCTTGAGTTCTCAGCTGACAAGGAAGTAGGACGCGATTTATGTATGTGGGAGATAAAGACAGGGCATACAAAGCGTTGAAATACACAACACTCTACAGAGACCCACCAAACAGCTCTGGAACTACCAGGAATCCCTGGAGTTCAATATGAACAAGCGAACTAGAGGCAAAATACTGCCCATGACTTCATGGCATCCATGCAACCTCCACAGTGTAATTATTAGATAGCTAAGGAAACACATATGAAACAGAATAGTTCAGAGTTGGCAAATGACATCTCAGTGCTCTGCTCCACAGCCATTCCGCAGTTCCCTTTAACGTCAAGGTTATGCAAAATTCTTATGGCAGCTGAAACAAGTACCTACCTTGGGTTTGTGGAACATACGGAGCCAGAAGCTTTGCTCTCTTCTTCTCATACCCCTTCTGTGTGATGTCCCCTAAAACCAAGGAAAGAAAACTCATTTAACCATATCCTCATTTTTCAGTTTGAGGTCTGTTTGCTTTTCTTTTCAGTGACATGAAGGTTTCACTGGAACACAGCAATGCACATGCTGAAGAAAACCTGAAACCAAATATATGTGAGTACATTATGATTTCAAAGCCTCCATATTACAGAACTTGTGTAGTTTCCCTTGGGATCAGAGATATACACTATACACTATTTAAATGCAATAATTTGAATCAGAACAGCTATCTAAATGGAATATCAAAGCAATGAAAACCTAAAAAGGGAAACTCGGAGTGCATGAAAATATTCTGTAACCACAAAGCCAACTTAGGCTAACAAAACGGAATAATTCCCAAACAACAGGGCAAAGGGAAAGTGCAAATTCAGAGCCTCATCTTAAACTAATCAAATTGAGAACAGCTTTTAGCAAATAAAGTGAGCCCACTGCAGGAGCTGTTTAGGGCACCTCCGAAAACTGAGGCAAGGATGAACAAAGTCAACTTCTAGACTACTGCCCAGCAAGCACACCCTATGATCCAGAAAATCAGACTTTTAATCATGTCTGTTTGATATTCAGTGAAAGCAAGCTAGAGGGTTGTGGTTTTTTAACCTGGTAGTAGCTGTAATTCCACTGTTTGCCTACTGGTAGAAGCATGCAGAAGATAGATGCTTGAGCTCCACAGAAGCAAAAACTCCAGAAGAGAATAAGTATTAGTAAACTTTTCCCTTTTTTAAAAAACTAATCTGTCTGATCCCGGAGATGTACCATCTGGCTGCTGTCTTTTGTTTTAATTTCTCATATTACATCAGAACCACAAGAAAGACTGAAACCTTGAAGGGATTAAAACAAAAAGCCCTGCAGCATTTCAAGCCTTTTTGTAGCCTGACCTGCACTTGTAACCTCTTATCTCTTGGGGCTGAAAGATTGGAAGCGATCAAGCACATAGCAATAAGAAAACAAAATTATTTGGTATTACTTCTCAAGCTAAAATTAAGCCCACATTTGTATTACAACAAGAAATTAGTGATCACAAACGGCACGTTTTCTTTACCGTGAGCCTGATTATTGCAAGGCAACAGAGTATTAGACACTGAGCAGCACAGGCCCCTGTATCTGCTGCCTTACAGCATCCTTCTGCCAGACACTTCCAGCCTGATCTGGAGGGTCACATCAGAAAAGGTGATTAAAGGCTTTAGGCTCTAAGCCTCCCAATGCAACCAGCGTCTCTGCTAAAACATTCCAGCTAACAGGCCATTTTGGTTATAAAGGTGATTTTGCAGTACTGAAATGCTTGGAAAGGGAATGGACTTCACTCCTTTGTGCTGGACAGTCAGATGTCAAGTGTCACTTGAAATGCCTAGACTAAGAGTTTCGAAGCTGAAATGTGTACTTACACTGCTTAGTGGAGGGTGTGCATTTGCACACAAAATTGTTATCTCACTACTCTAGCACTAGGTTTGAGTCAGGCCCCAACAAGTCCAAACAAACCCAGTAGCTGAAAATTAGAATGTCCATGAAGCACTGAAATGCCAACCAAAGCATTAATTTTAATGCTTGATTGCAATACGTAGCTCAGTTAAATTAATCCAGCTCACAAGAAAGGCATGCTGCCACTGTAAGAAAAGTACACCTTCAAAAAAAAGAGCTATACAAAGACTGTACGCCAAAAGGGTAACACTGATCGACTGCGTGAGCTACAAAATCCACCAGCTTTTCTGAGATTTGCCTCTCCATTTTCAGAGGCAGTTTTAATTCCCCACATTTGTTCATTTGGGTAGCAAATAGACCAGGGTGACTGCCACTTCAGGAAAAACAAACCTGCACAGAAAGGGGAGGGATTTTTCCTTACAAGACAAGCCACAGATTTGTTTGTAGCTTGTTATTTTGTGATTAATTTCTCCACAAGATTTAATTGGACTCTTGACATTGATGGTTACACACTATATATAATGAAACATTTGCCACAGAAAATTGTTGGAATTACTAAGGAATAGCAGCACATTATGAACAAATACCAGCACTCTCAATTTAAGTATCCCATTCTGTTTCACATACTGGGAAGCAAAGAATTCTCTGTAATCACTTGCTCCACACTAGTATCCTATCAATAAAACAAACCTATCCTCACACGAATGCGAGGCTTATGGTTCACAGATTTGCATTTGGAAATCTGAACTTGAGGTGAGATACTACTGAAAACCAAGAAGGTAACTCAGGCCAAAACACTATTTGCAACCTTAACTACCACGCAATGCAGATCACTTACATTATTGCTTGAAAAAAGGATTGTCTGAGCATAAGCTAATAAAAAAAATAAAAAGCCTAATGCTACTTGGCAAGAGCAGTAAAGTTCCAACTAGCAAAATTCAAGCAACAGAAATAAGGGCGATAAATTCCTGGGACTTCCCTGCAGCACTGTGTCTTCCCACTGCTGAATTTCCAAGTAGAGTTTGTTAAAACAACCAACCAACCCCAACCAACTATTATTTTGACAAACAGGTTGCAGTGTCAAGCACCTGCCTACAGGATTAGAAAGCGTAATGCTTCAATTTTTAGACTAGCCCTACTGAAGTGGAACTAGGCAGTAGGGACTGAAAAGGTTAGAAGAAATAGATAAATTAGAGTTCTTTACTTAAGGATAGCCATCCATGCAGGTTAGAAACAGAATACAATTATCTGAAATAAAGCTCCAGGAAGACACAGGGACTAAGGCTCTCAGAAAAAAAGCTTGTGTGTAGGCACGGATGGCAGGTGTAAAGTCATCTCAATAAATTAATTATGATCCGATTACTACAACCGCAATAGTCATGCCCAAACTGACATCTCAAGTCTTGGAAGGGAAGTGTCCCTTTAATACGTAGCATGAGCAGAACAAATTTACTGTATAAAGCCTCTTCTCTCTGGTCATGCATAGTCCAAATTTGGTATCAATCCACTGAGATAGAAACCAAAGACTCACTAAGAGAGAAATTTTCTTTCACCCTATTCCTTTTCTGCTGATCTACAGGAAATGGAAATGGTTAGATACGAACAGAAATGCGGACTTCCTCACCGAGTATCATAAATTACAGCAACAGGAAGAGAACCAAGACAATAGGACTGCAATCTCAAGAACCATTCACTCCTACTACATAAACCTGGTAAATCATCAACCTCACTTCCATAGATTCAACACTTTGTGACATTTGGTCTGCTAAATTCTTCCAGCTAGCTGAAAAAACAACCCAAGAACCACAACCCCTCTCTACACAGATGCAAGACACAGCACTACAAAGAAAGCATTAGGAAAGCAAATGAGAGCTGATAATTTAGCTTTAAAATGGTGCTAGTGTTTGTTCATTCCTAGGAAAGAAATTACAAACAAAAACACTTACTGCTGAGACATTCTTTTGGCCCTCTCCCAGCTACAACTGTTTCTGTTCAGTTGTAGTCTATATTTATCTATATCCTAAGCTAGTCATGGTTGTGCCTCCACATGCTGAGGAGGCCCTGCTAAGGAAATAGGATCATTGTCAAAAGAAAGCAAAGCTTCAGTTTCTTTTCAGCCAAGACCTTTTGCCATTAACAACCGTAAGATTCTTGTACGTCGTGTTCTTTCCTGGTGTCTCAAAATGTGATGTCAGGAATCTTTAGGTTTTTAGTTTTTGGGTGTTTGATTTTTTGTTGTTGTTGTTTTTTTTTTTAAAAGGACACATGAGAGTGAGCTAAGCTGCTGGTCACTGATGCAGTGGAGGAACAGGCTCTCCTTCCTTGACACCTCTGCTGCAGTGACGGCAACCACCAGCTCAGGTGCAGCGATGTCTTCACCTTCTGTGAAGGTGAACATAACAGACTGTACATTAGAACAGTCTGAAGCGTAAATACAGCCCACCACCACCACAATCCAGTTCATCAGCTCCACACACTACCATTTTCCTCACTATGCTTCCCAAACTCAGTTTTTCCAAACCAACCAATGCAAAGCTCTGCTACCACCTGCACTACTCACAAAGGTTAACTCGTCCCAACACATGAGAAATTTTCTCCTGCAGAGCCACCAGCTCAGTTTTCCTGCTCATTTGCAGAGCATTTGATGGATCAGCCCCAGCCAGCTTCACAGAACAGGTTCTCTGGCAGGAGGCCGGCACTGGTATTGCATTGCTTCAGTAATTCCTCATCTCGTTATATATCACAATACTGTTCACCCTTTTCAACCCTCTCCTCCCCCCATTTAATCTCTTCTCTCTCCTGACAGTTGTAAAATAAGAATTTAAAGAAATCCTACTTTTCAAGACACAGCAGCTCCTGCAAATACACAAGAGATGCCCTTCTGTGGATTCAGAGTAGGAAATAACTCTAGATTCTGGTTTGCAGAAACAAGGCAAGTTCAATCAAAGAGCAACGATTTTTCCTCACTTGGAACGCCTGGACAATAATCCTGACTGCAGACACTTCCATGATGAAATCCAAGAGGCCCTGCTTGTTTGTGATTAAACAAGTGTACATTTGAGAAGCAGAATTCCCTAGAAAAATGCAAAAAATGGATTCTGATATTCCTTTTTCACATGATTCTCCTAATTTCTTGAGAGGAAATTAGAATTGATCCTCATCATGCAAATCCAATCTGGATGTTCTGACCATTGAGAGTGCAAGAGAAAAGACAAACAGCAATGACAGAAGACAGAGGGGTATGGGCTTACACAGAGCAGAAGTTAGTCCAGTGAACTACAACTGATCAGCCCAGATGTTACACCTATATTCAAATCATGCAACAGAGAAGCCTGAAACTTCAGGAGTCTCACCACCCCATGACGCCAGGCTGCTTTTTAGCAATTAGAGTTGATGATCTATTCTAAACAGTGGTGCTCAATCAGTGCAAGGTGGTAACACCAGCTAATCCTGCTACACTCAGACAATACTCCTCTTTCAACATCCTTGCTCCCCTTCCCCCCATGGAATGAGAACACTGAATCATTTACTGTCTAACAAAGCCATAATTACTACA